TGGCTTCTTGCACAAGTACAGCTGTTCTTGTGCAAGAACCCACAGAGCAGCCACACTGCCCGCCTGTTCTTGTGCAAGGACATTTACAGTCCGGCGTGGTAAGAGAGGGCGTCTTGCACAAGAGCTACGCTCTTTTCTAACAGGTGTAAGCTCTTGCGCGAAAGAACAGTGTGGACACTCGGCAGGGATTTCTTGTGCAAGAAACCCCTCTGGCTAAAATGGCCATCGGAGCTTTCTTGCACAAGAGAGCATCCACACTGCTATGGATGCTCTTGTGCAAAAGCCCAGCTCGCACATGACAGTGTGGACGTGTTCTTGTGCAAGAAGCCACCAGGGTAGACATAGCCGAAGAGTTTCCTCCCATGAGCAGAATGGATTTTGTGTTGTGCACCTGTACTGAGTTCATGTGGCTTGTTTGGATGTGCCACCAGAGGCGTAGTGAGGGTGTGATGCACACGGGGGCAAAGGAAAATTTGTGCCCCCACCGGCCGCCATTTTGCACGGCCCCGAACCTGGTGCACAGCTGACGGGAACTTGTACCGCATCTTCCCCCGCCCCCTACAGTTTGGGGCTGGCTCCCACATACACTAACCCGTCAGTGGAGATGGAGGAGGGTCGGGCTCGGAGCAGGGTTGTGCTTGGAGCAGAGAGGCAGGGAAGAGGTTCCAGGTGCCGGTGCCAGGCGGAGTAGGAGCACGTGAGCTGAAGGGATAACGGGGGAGCAGAATGGGATTAAATTGGGGTCTCCCTAGCATGGTGCCCAGGGGCAACTGACCCCTCCGGACCCCTCGCTATGCCACGGTCCCCCCTCCTGCAGATCTATCTTATGCACGTGCAAGATCTGTGAGAGCCGTCCCATGAGTCTGCAGTTTGTGTCTGTGGCGCCTGCTTCTGGGGCGTGTCTCAATGATGCCACATTCACCTCCAGAGAGGGGGCTTCCCAAAGCAGGCCCTTGCTGCTGACCCCCAAGGCATCCACAGGTCCAGTCTCCTTTCAATGGGCCCACGTCCCAGGGCTCATTGATCTTGGATCTGGCTTCCATCCCCCCTCCAACCCTTGCAACTGCCCAGAGGTGTCACCTTCCGCCTTATCCATTCCCACCTCATTCACCCCACAGGGACAGTCTCTGCCTCACCTGTCCTAGGGACTATTCTAGCAAGCCCCGATATAAAGTTTCCATGTAAAAGGACTCACTACAAAGCTAAAAACTGCAATGAGAGAATGATTAATACAGAGACGTGTCTACATCTGCTGCTGGGAGACACCTCTGCCTGCCTCCGCCCCTCTGCCCCAGAGTCCACAGCCCCATTGCAAAGCGGGGGAGGGGAAGGAAAGAGGCTGAGGCCCATCAACAGGACTGAAGCTCATCCTTTCTCCAGCCATGTCTGTGTTGAAGGTCTCAGCCAAGCCCCCTGCTGCCTTTGGGCAGGTCAGTGACCCCTACTGGAGCAACCAGCAGCTTCCAAGTGGTGGGTGGATCCAGACCTGGAAGGGTTGGGACATGGGTCTCGAATAGAAGCGACGGGCTCTAGATCTATCTAGACTGGACGCACAGGCATTTGCGTTGATCTTGAAGCTGTCTACAGGTGGCCATGTGGACTTGGGTTGATCACAAATGCAACAGCCTCCACTGGAATGAATCGAGTAAGGACTGAAGTGGAGCTGGCTGGGTGTTCATCCATCTCCATGGACTTGGAAAGGCCACAGAGCTTGTCCAGGTTGGTTCTAGATGGCGCTCGCTTCCTCTCTGTGGTCGCTGTCCCTGCTCTCAGACCCCTCCCTTCCTGTGTCACGGAAACCAGTCTGATTCCAGGCACATCCCATTGTCCTGGCACAACCATATCCTGACCTTGCATTAGCTTAGGCTGAGAGGAAGCTGAACACCACAGTTGGGGCGACTGGGTTGGGCCACCAGGAGCACTGCCAAGCCCTAAGGATGACTCCAGGCCGCTGCGACCGCTGCTAGAACCCAATGGGCAGAGGAGGCTGTGGAGACCCCTGCTGAGGCCAGGGGCCTACCCTGGACCCCCAGGATCCAGACTGGGCCCCTTGGATCTCTGCTTGAAAGATGCCAGCCCGGTGCTACCAGGCTGGGAGGCTGAGGACTGGCCCTGTGCTTGCCTGAGGCCTGGACCAGAATACCTGTTGGAGCGGTCAAGCCCCAACACCCCGGTGGACCTGCCAGAGACCCAGGGATACATGGAGGAGGGAAACTGAAGTAGCCCAGGGAATGCTGACCATGGTTTAGCTGAACCGGAGCTGGGATCAGCATGTTGCAGGTAGGCTCCCCGTTGACCCAGCAGCAGACCGCTCTGCTGCTGTGAGGGCCCTGGGCTGGGACACGGTGGAGCAGGTTCCCCCCATAGGAGAAAACACCAGCAAAGAGACCGAACCCCTGTATTGGACTGCAGACTGCCTTCAGCCTGAGACCGTTCCACAGCGTAGTTTTTAGGGTCTCTTTCTTTTCTTGGATCAAGCAGACTGAGACGGACTCAGCTTGTCCCTGGGAGTCACTGAGCCCAATTGGCCCTGGGCTGGGACACGGTGGAGCAGGTTCCCCCCATAGGAGAAAACACCAGCAAAGAGACCGAACCCCTGTATTGGACTGCAGACTGCCTTCAGCCTGAGACCGTTCCACAGCGTAGTTTTTAGGGTCTCTTTCTTTTCTTGGATCAAGCAGACTGAGACGGACTCAGCTTGTCCCTGGGAGTCACTGAGCCCAATTTTGATATTGCTCCCCCCGAGCCGGCCAAAGCGAACTCCCACTCCCAGCCCTGCTCACAGACCCCCGGCTCTGTCTCCTGCCTTGTTCAGATTCTAAGGCAAAGTATCCTCCACCCAGCTCAGGTGTCAGGCCAGCCTGGGCCATCCCCTATGGGCCTCCCCTCAGGAGTTCTACCCCCAAGATCCCACCCCCTGCTGGGCACTGCACACACACACACACACACACACACACACACACGACACA